AAGTTCAAATTCAGAATGTTGACCATTCCAACAATCGTGAGTCAAATCAGATCCGAGGACTGGTTTGTCACGATAGATCTGAAAGACGCCTATTTTCACATCTCCATCCTTTCTTGTCACAGGAGGTACCTGAGGTTCGCTTTCGGGGGCGAAGCATACCAATATCGGGTTTTTCCGTTCGGCCTAGCACTCTCTCCCCGCACATTTACCAAGTGTATGGACGTGGCCCTTGCTCCACTGAGACTTCAGGGGATTCGCGTATTGAATTATCTCGACGACTGGCTTATTTTGGCCCAGTCTCGGGATATGGCAGTTCGGCATCGAGATGTCGTTCTTGGCCATATTCAAAAATTGGGGTTAAGACTCAATTTGAAGAAGAGTGTGCTAGAACCGTCCCAGGGCACGACCTTTTTGGGAGTCGTGTGGAACTCGATTACAATGCAGGCACGTATGTCTCCCGCACGTATCGAGTCAATTCTGGCGATGGTGTCCAGGGTGAGGCTAGGTCAGGCCGTCACTGTGAAACACTTTCAAAGGATGCTGGGCCTCATGGCAGCGGCATCCAACATTATTCCTCTGGGCCTCCTTCACATGAGGCCCCTCCAGTGGTGGTTGAAGACCAAGGGGTTCTCACCCAAAGGAAATCCGTTCCGTATGATCAGAGTAACGCGCAAGTGCCTTCAGTCTCTGCAAATATGGAAGAAGCCTTGGTTCCTATCCCAAGGGCCAGTGTTGGGGGTGTCATGTCACCGGGAAACCGTTTCGACAGACGCCTCCCTTACGGGCTGGGGCGCGGTCATGGACGGCCGCTTTACCAGGGGTCTGTGGCAGGACCATCATCGCACTTGGCATATAAATTGCCTGGAGATGATGGCGGTATTCAAGGCTTTGAGGAGCTTCCTCCCAGACATCGAGGGTCGCCACGTCCTTATACGGACGGACAATACGTCAGTGGTGGCCTATCTGAACCGACAGGGGGGACTCAGATCGCGCCCTCTGTGCAAACTGGCGCATCAGATTATCCTTTGGTCCCAGGGAAAGATATTGTCAATAAGGGCAATGTATATCCCAGGGGTTCAGAATCGGGGAGCAGACATCCTGTCGAGGCAGGGGCTGAGGCCCGGGGAATGGAGACTTCATCCGGATGTGGTGAAGTCGATATGGGAGAGGTTCGGACCGATGGAAGTGGATCTGTTTGCGTCTCGAGAGACGTCCCACTGTCCACTTTGGTTCTCCCTCTCACATCCAGCCCCGCTGGGGTTGGATGCCATGGTACAGGCTTGGCCGAGGCTTCGCCTGTATGCTTTCCCCCGATCGCTCTGCTCCCAGGGGTCCTGGAGAGGGTCCGTCAAGAGGGCATCAGTCTACTTCTGGTTGCCCCGAGATGGCCGACACGAGTATGGTTCTCGGATATAATATCACTCCTCATAGCTCCGCCATGGCCGATTCCTCTGAGGAGGGATCTATTGTCTCAGGCGGAGGGCACAATCTTCCACCCTCGCCCAGAGTTGTGGAAGCTGTGGGTCTGGCCTCTGAGGGGGTTCAGTACCTAAATGCTGGCTTATCAGCTGAGGTGGTTGAAACCATACTTAGCTCTAGGGCCCCATCTACCAGGAGATTATATGGCCTCAAGTGGAAGGTGTTTCACACTTGGTGTGGAGAACGAAGGTTGGATCCAGTAAACTGCCCAGTGGCTTCAGTTCTGGAATTCCTTCAGGATCGTTTCTCTGCGGGTCTCTCCCCGTCCACTCTTAAGGTGTACGTGGCTGCCGTTTCGGCTTTCCACGCGCCAGTAGATGGTGGACCTCTGGGGAGGCACCAATTGGTCATTAGGTTTCTCCGTGGTGCTTGGAGGATGAGGCCGGCGATCAGGTCCAGGGTGCCTGCCTGGGATCTGGCAATGGTTCTGGAAGGGTTGTCCCTCGCTCCCTTCGAACCTTTAGAGTCGGCTTCGCCTAAGGACTTAACGCTGAAAATGGTCTTTCTCTTAGCGATTACCTCTCTTAAGAGGGTGGGAGATCTCCAGGCCCTGCGGTAACGCCAGCTTGCTTGGAGTTTGCCCCTGGCAAAGTAAAGGCCTTTTTGCCCCCGAGTCCGGGCTACGTGCCTAAAGTTCCTTCGAGTACGGCTCGCTCTGTAGTCCTTCAGGCATTCCATCCTCCACCTCATGTGTCGGCGGGAGAAGAGAGGCTTCACTTGCTCTGCCCCGTCAGAGCTTTGAGTGTATACTTGGAAAAGTCTGCTTCTTGGAGAAGATCTGACCAGTTGTTAGTATGCTTTGGGTCACCTAAGAGGGGGCTCCCGGCGACCAAACAAACTATAAGTAACTGGATTGTCCAGGCTATTACTGAGGCTTACAAGGTGCGTGGGGTTCCTTCACCTTTGGCCTTAAGGGCTCACTCGACTAGAGGCATGGCTTCCTCTAGGGCCCTTCTGTCGGAGTACCTCTGCAGGAGATTTGTGAGGCAGCCGGCTGGGCTACCCCGCATACTTTCATCAGGTTTTACAGTCTCAGCCTTCCCAGTACGCCCGGTGCACACGTACTCGGCCCTTGCTGAGTGCTTAATCAGTTTCACTCTGGGGCGGGTCTGTTCGGTGCGTGGCCTAGTGGGTACTCGTTCCCCAAAGAGTCGATTTTATCGACGCAGTGTTGAGTTCCCTCGATAGGGAACGTCTCGGTTATGACTATAACCCTTGTTCCTGAGAAGGGAACGAGACACTGCGTCGTGTTGCCACGCCCCTTTTCAGACCCTTGAGCGTCTTGCTTCATCGCGAGGCTAGTGTGTGTTGTGACAGCGTCACTTTTATACTTCCGGGTATGCCGTCACATGTTACGTCACGACGCAACACCAATCAGGATTGGTTAGTTTCATTCATACTTCAGAGGCGCACGCTTAGGGAGCGTCCCAAAGAGTCGATTTTATCGACGCAGTGTCTCGTTCCCTCTCAGGGAACAAGGGTTATAGTCATAACGAGACGATCCACCAACAGGTTCTTTCTGTGTTGGAAACTCATTTTCAAGCATAATT